TTATAATTAGTTAGGTTGTAATAATTTGGGTTTTTTTTAGCAGATTGCGGTTTTCTGTCAATTCAAAATTTTGGTGGCCATTTTTTCATTGATTTAATCCATTCTTTATTGTAATTTAGTATGATTATATACTTCATCCATGATAATTATATGATTTTTCTTTTTTGTGATGTAAGTTTAATAGTTAACATAAGTTTATACAGGGAAAAAACATCTCAATATTCGCATGTTGATGAAAAAAATGAAAGCTAATAATGTAGTACCCCCATTTTTTGTTAGATTCCTAAAAAACAATATTTATAATGAATTTTAATAATTTTTTTGGATTTTTTTTAAGGTTTAATCCAACCGATTCCCGATTTGGATTGTCGATTCACAGGTGCGGATGGATTTTTGGGAGGCCCAATCCGAAGCGCCGCTCCGTTTTTTAAACCACTAATTTAGACCGTCCATTTCTAAATGTCTTTTATATCTGCCCAATCTACAATACCTTTGGAGCTTTAAATTTCCTAATTACAGGTAGAAATCGATTGGAAAATATACGTACGCATCGAGTTTTTTTACCATTAGAACGGTATAGCCTGAAAATAGGTTGTTATTACTTAAAATGACGTCTCCACGATTTTTTTTTATTTTTTGTCAAATTTACCCGAGGTACATTGGAGACCGCTTTATTTACTACTTTTTTTTCATGGAGCATGTAGGCTTCCTTTAGTGTGAGGGAGCATAAAGACCAGTAAGAGTCAGATCGTAGGTGGTCCAACACATCTAAGTCTCTCTCTCTAGATCATGTATCTGTAACATGTACTTGAGTTGTGAAGGGGCAGGCCTGTCTCTCTCTCTAGATTCAGGACCAATTCCTGCCTTTTTTTTGGCAAGCCTCTCTCTCTCTAGAATCAGGACCAGCTACTCACTCGAAGCTACATTCTTGATTTGATCTCTTGCCTAAAGAGCCAACTAAAAGCCTCTCTCTCTCTCTAAACTCTTATCTCTCTCTTTAAATCGGATAAAGAGTTAGACCACATAATCACCGGCATTGCCCCCCATGTTTACTCTTTTTTTTCATTACAAAAAAAGTAGCGAAATCGAACCCGAGGTAAATTTGACAAAAAAAAAAAAAAACATCGTGAAGTCATCCTTCCAAGTAATAGTGGCCAATTTTTGAGCCATAATGTTCTAACGGTAAAAAAACCCGGTCTATACGTAAATTTCCCAAAATTCGATTTTCAAGTCACAATATGTGTGTACATGTGAGTGTGAGAGAAAGATAATGGGGCAAAGAAAACAAATACGGAAAATGTTTTGATAGCTATCAAAATAAAAGTAAAAAACTCAACTATAATTCATCAAAAATTACAATTTAAGAATTGGAAAACTTTTACATCGATCATCTCGGCTTGAACATATTAGTTGTGAAAAAAAATTGGGATCTTAAGCTTTAAAAAATTGTGCAAATTGTAACAAATTATCTAGACCCTACCTTTCACCCAAAATTAAGTGTTTATGGATCAGCAAGATCTATACTATGTTTTGAGTTTCAAATTTGAAAATTAATTTAAATCCATCATATAGATTTCTATTACCGAAAGTGCTTTCCAAAAAAAGATTTGAGATGAAGCTTTATTTTATTTTCATAAAGCCTAGGCCTTATAGAAACCTAACGAAAGAGCTCGACATGCAGCTAGCTGTTTCGTCCCATCGAAGCAATCCAAATTTTTTAAGTTGCTCAACTGAAAGGGTTCAAGAAAACTCCAAAAGAGGTAAGACCTCATTTAATTTTGGGAAAAGTTTATATAGAGCTGAGGCTCTAAACAATCAAATTAGAGCCTACCTCAAAAATTTCACTAGAAAAGGTTGTTTTGATGCTCAAATATGCTTAAATTGATCATCTCGACATTAAGATGCATGAACATAAGAAAAATAAAAATGGATTTCAAATTTTGGAAATAGTGTATTTTGTAACGCATTTTTGTACCGTCAATTTTTAAGATTTTGAAGTTTTCATAGATTTGTCGATCTGCACTATTTTTGAAGTTTTAAGCTTTATAAATAAAGATGAAAATAAATTTTAAAGCTATCACAAAGATATTCAATATTAAAACCACATTTATCGATCTTATTTGAAGGTAGGCTCTAATTTGATTGTTTAGAGCCTAGGCTCCATACAACCGCACCCAAAAAATTTCTCTCTCGCTAAGAGTGCCTGCCCTTAAAGTACATTGTGCATTTACTCCCTCAAGCACAATAAATGTTTGGAAATAGTTTTTTTTTTTTTTAGGGGTGGGGGCGTGGCATTTATCAAATTACTTTGTAAAAATAAGCAATTTAAACAATTTACTTATGTCCCTTGATTTAAGGAAAATGTTTCATGCGATCTGGACCGCAAGACTACATATGTAGTCAAAAAAGTGTAAAGCATCCATCGTAAAGATGAATGCAAGTAGTTTTTCCATCTAAAAACAATGAAAATTAATGGTCCAATTGTTTTCTTAGTAGAATTATTATTTCTAGTCTTTTAAATTTACTTATTTTTTTCATATTTATGATCTCCATGTTAGAGAGTACATATCCTTAAAAAGTAAATCTAGAAATCCATCTTAAAAATAGATTTATTAATAGGCCCCCATAGAAACTGGGTCCTTGATTTAATTCAAATTAACTATAACACTACACATGGTCTTGAGTTGTAGTAGTTGAAAATGGGTAAGATGTTAAATACTTTCTCTCTCATTGGTATTTTGTTAAAAGCAAAAGTTTATATAAGGTTGCAACATGGGTATTTTGTTAAAGGAAAAAGTTTATATAAGGTCGCAATTTTATACAAAAATGAGGTGTATTTGAATAATAAAAAGAGTGTTGTAAAGTTGGAAAATCTACCAATTGATCATATCAACCTTGAGATTGTGGATATAAAGAAAAAAAAGAATTTCAAGTTTTAACAATAGTGCATTTTATAACAAGTTATCTGGACTGTCTATTTCCAAAATTTTCACTTGTTTGTAGATATGCCTAATATGTATTTGTTTTTTAACTTTAACTTTATAATTAAAGTTGAACCTGAATTTTCAAGTCATTGTAAAGTTTCTGACACTAAAGCTACATCTTCCAACAAAAATTAGAGTACAAACACCTTATACAAGCCCCACCCTTTGATAAATTCTCCCCTTTTTAGTATGAAATATTGGACTCCATTTAGAATCAACACATGATTATTATTTTTTAAAAAAAAGAAAATAAATTTGATTTTTAGGTCATTTGAATTGTCCAAAAATTAAACGGTTTTTGTTCAATCTCAAGATACTATTTGTCGTATGTTTAATTATTTCTTTTCCGAAGTCGGTCACTAAGTTGAGGAGGTTACATCACCAAAATTTGAGGCCCCAAAAATGCCTCTATAACTAGCAAAAAATTAATTTGATATAGAATACTCCCTTTGAATGGTAGATAGATGATGCTGTCAATAATTTAGATAGAGAAACCACCCAACGACAATGAGTTTGATTTTAAAGGGGTAAATGCTCATAAATAGTAGACCATGAGTTGTCAAACCTCATAATGAGAATGTGTACAATGGGAAAGCCCTAAATTTTGTGCACTTATTAATTATTTCTTTATTTACATGGTTCCACCAAACACTTCATTGAGTTCCATAACTCTTCTTCTTCTTTAGATGATAGTTGCTTCTTCTTAGTTAATTGGAGTTTACACTCAATATTCTTTAAATCACCATTTTCAAAAGAAAATGATTTTGTGGGACATATTTGAAACTTCTTTTTTTAAGATATTGTGTGTTTTTTGCATATTGATATTGATCAGGTCTTGGTAAGGCCACAGCTTTACAAATTGTGGTAAAGTTGTACCTAACAGCTTTATTGGATAAATCAGATTTGGTACTAGAAAACCAGGACATGGCCCGCAAATTCATTTACATCCTTGGCCGTTGGCTTGAAATACTAAAAATGGTGTAGATTTGACAGATATGTGAATCTTTGGATTGGACAGTTCAATAAAAGTATTGCACAATGGACCCTTTTCGGGGCTTAAAACATTCTTTTAATTTTTCTTTCATATCCATAATCATCAAAGTGGAGATGATTGATTTAAAGGTTTTCATATGCCAAAACTGCATTTATCTACGATTTGAGGTGTGGGTGTATAAGCCACTTCTTTAAGAAATACTTTTCCTATATTTTCCTTTGATAATTTAAAATTTGGGTACGTGTTATTTTGAATACATGAGGGTTATATTATTTGGTGGATTGAAGGGGAATATTGATGTTGTAGATTTGCAACATAAATGCCCTTTTTGTTTTCATAAGGTCAGTATTAATGCAACAAATCACTAAAGAATGAAAAGGAAAGTTTACCATTATACCATTTTTTGGGTAGAATCGAAATTTGTGATGGAGAATTGCACTTGTTAACAACTGTATGCTCCACTGTTTATAGATTTTTAGGTTCGATAATTTTCAATGTTTTTGTAGGAAAATGCGTCACCTATAATACCAAACATGCCCTAATGGCTCCAATTGAAACAACCACTTGCTTTCCTATGACATCAGAATCAAAAGCCTAACTCATGTACTGCAAAGAATAGCAAGAGCTCCCAGTCTCATTGGATACCCAGATGATAGGTCACATGGACCACATAAAAGCACTAGGCGTTAATATCTTCATGAATCACACTAAAAACAAGAAAACATTATAACATGCCAAATAAATCTCACAACGATGTAAAACCATAGAAGTGACTCTGAATTTCTTGTACTAAAGATGAATGGATGCATTGTAACACCAATATTTTTTAATCATAGTATCAGAAGCCACCATCGTCAAAATCACCGTCGTGTTCACAATTAATAACAATTTTTTTTAAGGAGAAGTATATAAAAAGATCATTCACCTCTGTTACAAAGATGTCCCAATCACTCTTGGGCATGAATATTGAAATTGTGCAACTGGGTGTGTATCACTGACCAAGTTCAAAATTCAAAAGAAAATTTCTTGAACTTTATGACACACCAAAACTGTCTGATTTGACATCTTACAGTTAGGATTTGATCATAACTTCCTTATTCCAATGATAAATGGCGTTCCACCATAGAAAACAAAACACATCAACAATTCTCACCATTCATTGTTTTCTCAAACTAATGAGCATGCAAAAGAAACTAAAAATCATTCTCTATTGCATTTTAAAGAACAATGTAACATATTCATTCACTTCTCAAAAAATGCCTCAACTAACCATCAGGACATTTACAGGGAAAAGACCCAAAAGCTAAATTAATAAAATTGAGGGTGTCATCTCCCAAACCATCTAATTAATAAAATAGAGGGTGTCATCTTCCATACCACCCTATATTGCCTCCGTTTCAACACTCCATGGCATCTCTTCATGTAAACTTTCAGATGCTATATCAGGGACTTCCTCTATATCTTTTGAAGGCTGAGAGAGAGTGAGAGAGATCAGAAGAAACACTAAATATCTCAGCATAGTGCGGATATCTCAACAGAGAGAGAGAGAGAGAGAGAGAGAGAGAGAGAGAGAGAAACTAATGTACCTGCCAAAGTTCTAAGAGATGCCATAACAAGTAATCTAGTGTCATGACCAAGCAAAATAGCTTGCCAGCCCACACACCACAAGCGAAATACCTATGAAATAAGCATTAACAGAGTCAGAAAGAAGTAATAAAAGTGACATAAATATGAAATAAGCATTAACAAATTTAGAACGCACGGCATTCATTAAAGATCTCTTAACCATCTTACTCGGAAAAGAAGGAAAATAAGCAACCCAATATAGTAGTTTACTCAAGACTGCAAAACCAGCTCTGGTTTAAGGCGACTCAAATAGAGCAAGAAGCCTCAGGCCAGAGTCAAAGAACTGGCAGACCAATTTATAATCTTCAGACCGATATCCACTCCTAGCAAAACCGAGCCGGCCCAGACTAGTTTTACATTTGACGAGTGAAGCCAGCACCAGATATGACAGTCAGACTTCCATACGTTTATAAGAACAGTTTTCATCATAAGACTCACAGAAACTTGACACATTCACTACTCTCACAAAGAAAAAACTTGGTTTATCTCTTGGAAATCGTAACTGGACATGTAATACAAACATAATGAGTTGTCAACCATCATCCTGTGACAAATATTGCAGTTATCATCGAATCTGACAAAAAAACGATCAAGATAAACAACCCCCTCCATGGCAGAGGGAGAGGGAAAAAATACCCAAAAAGAAAGGAAAAAACAGTAGACAGAAAACACTGCTTTTTCCTAGCATTTATTCTGAAACTATTAACTTACAAACCCTAAACTTAACCAAAGGAAAGATACTGTGAATATTTTCATTTCCTATTATTTCATAAATTTTAAAGCGGGTTACTATTCTCACATATGTTTCTCCTATCGCACCCAAGCACAAGTGCAAAAGCAAATTTTATACTCTCACCATGTTTTAGGTGGCATAAAGAAAACATGAACAAGTCTTTCTTCTGTTTTTCTTGATTGGTAGAGAACATGGGCAAGATTAGCAGCTATCATTCAAAAATTCCATGTATAAAATTTTCCCTTTCAAGAATTTGTTGGGGGAAAAAACAGATCGTTAAAATCTCATGAGAAATCACCAAGTTAAAAAATTCTATAAGCATGATATTTCTATCATTTACATAGACAAATGGTCAAGTCATACCGTGAAAGCCGCACCAGAAGATTCTCATCAGAGCAACTTAAGGCACAATCATACACTAGCTCTGTTCTTCTCGCCACATCATGCCAACTGTACAGGCTTTTCATCTGAATGCAAACATTGAGAACAATTATTTCTCTCTCTACCAAGATTGCCAGACAGCTAAACAAACTTCTCTCACTTAATGAATCCATGGATGTAAAAATGATACATATGTAGGCACCAATAAAGAAAGGCACTCACTCGGTCATGCATAACCTGTGGATCAATCTTAGGAAGCAATCGTATGGCTTTCCCAATAGCTTGAACCATATCATTGGGTACTGGCTCTGCAAGAACAATAATGTCCTCTGGTAAAACCTGTAACCAAATTAAAAGGAAGGGAAAAAAAAGAACAAATATGATCCAATGTTGCTTATGGGTCACCACAACAATTTAACGAGTCCCAGATTTTAGAAATACTTGTCGAAGTAATTAAAATTAATTTGCTTTAGAAAGTGTCTGTTTAACAAGAGACGAAAAAATTAGTTTGTAACAGATACCTCTGGAACACCTCCTACTCGTGTGCTTACAGTCAACAAGCCACAACAAGCAGCCTCCAATATGGCTATGCAAAAAGCCTCCGTGAGGGAACTGCCAGAGTCAAAATGACTCAATCACCAACAGGAATCAAAGCCAAACGCACTTTCCATATAGTACTAGTGAATCTAGCCACTATGATATCTCTACAACATTTCAAAAATGTGGCAATTTCACGGAGTTTGTCTCTAATCACCAGGGTAGACTACATTATAGATATAGCAAATACACCTTTCTTTTTCACAATTAGCATGTAAGTGTCAAAATGACAAAATCACCAACTGGAATCAAAGCCAACCCACTTTCCATATAGTACTAGTGACTCTAACTACTACGATATATCTACAAAATTACAAAAATGTAGCGATTTCACATAGAGTTCCTATCTAATCACTAGGGTACAATACATTATGGAGATAGGAAATACAGCCTTCTTTTTCTCAATTTGCATGGGAGATCACTCGGGAATTACAATTGTGGCACTATCCAAAAACATTGGCCATGCCAACTCCATGGAGGCAGAGGCTATGGCGCTCCTCGAGGGACTCAAACTCATTCATCTTCACTGCATTGAGTCAGTGATTATCGAGGGAGACTCTAAGAACGTGATTGCTTGGGCCACCAACTCTTCCCCCCTCTTTGGGTTCTAGCCACATTTTTTATGAAATTTATCACCTCTGCAGGGGTACGAGCATCTCATGGAAGCATATCTGGATGGAGTCCAACCAGGTAGCCAACGCTCTGGCCAAGAAGGCAGCAGCTCATGATGGATCCTAGTATTGTTTTTTGGATCAGTTTCTTTTTCTTGGTTGCTCTGACTTTTCGTTGTAACCTTCAAAAAGAAGGCTTTCGGATTCTCTTTTCTCTCTCCCTCCCCTCTATTTTAGAAGGGATCTTTGTACTCTTTTCATTGTAACCTTCAAAAAGAAGGCTGTTGGATTCGCTTTTCTCTCTCCCTCCCCTCTATTTTAGAAGGGATCTTTGTACTCTGAGCTATCCAAGAACGGATAGACACTCTCCCCCCATTCTCCTCTCTACTTACGAGTTCATTGTACTCAATGACCTTATTCTAATATATATAACAGTTAACATTCTCAAAAAAATTTGCATGGAAGATGCCAAACACTCTAGAATAAATTTATATACCCCTTGGTTCTGGAAATTTTTTATCCCCAAATGTATACCTTCTTCCATTAATCCCAGAAAACTTTTGATAATTAACATTTCATCAACTGCACAAAATAAATCAGTTCATAAAAGCTGTTTTATTTAACATTTCTCTCCTAAATGCCATAAGAATTTCTCTCGCTATCAATACATGTAAGCTGATTCATTGACATAGTTTAAACCCAGAATATAAATCTGTCCATCAAAGGTATTGCATTTCAAAATTTTCTCCTAGATGCCAAATGAATTTCTCTCACTGTCAATACTTGTAGACAACACAATAAAGACATAGGATTGATTTAACAAGTATATGTTGCTACCATTGAACTTGCTTCCCAGGACACCCTGAGGTTGCTCTTTCCCTGACCCACACTAGAAGGTCCCTATTGAATGATTTATATCTCCCAGTGTTTCAAAACCCACTGATCCAAACCAGGAATCCCCAATCCAAATCGGGATTTGGCCGGGAACGGAACGGTTCCCCAAAGCTATCAGTACCGGCCCGGTCCACTCCAAACCCCCCCCCCTTCAATAACTTTTCTTTAAAAAAAAACAAAAAGAAGTTTATCTGATGTTCTTAGGTCTCACCCTAAATCCGCCCCCCCCCCCCGCCCCATAAACTCCCATTTTGTTTTTTTGTTTTTTAATGTGTTTCCAAATCACAGACATGGACTGATCCGGATCGGCGATCAGGTGATCCGACATGGATCTGTGGGGTCGATCCGCCCCACCAACCCAGGTTTTGAAATACTGATGTCACCTACACCAAGAGCCCCCTCCCATATCGGTTCAGACTCCTATACTATTGTCAGGAAAGCACAATTTTCCTTTCGGAGATCGGGACTGATATGTTGCACAACATGAAACCAATAATTATCAATATATAAAAAACATTGCACTTCATGCCCTCATACATATATATATATATATATATATATCTTACAAAATTCCACATGCCCCTTGCTGACATCCCACAACGCGGAGCACAGGATGGCACCGAAGAAACAGAGAGAATGGGGAAAGCGCGAGAGAGAGAAAAGGAGGAATTGGTAACCCACACTGTAAAATACATTCTTAAAGAAGATACGTATCGATGCTTAGAAATGAAACATATCATACTTACAAACTTCAAGAACAAAGAATTCTCAAATATTGATAATATATTTACAGATAAGAAAGAACAGAGGAAAAAGAGAAGCCAATATCCAAGTAACATTGAAAATATAAAAGCAATGTCGCATAGGAAAGAGGAAATACAAGCCAATACCTGTTCAAAAAAATGTGCCCACGGATAAGGACAGATCGCACTTGCACATGAGGCACAGCCCCCAACATCTCAACTCTGTCTTGAAGAGAATTCTTCTCTCTCATCTCCTCCAGCCGCACTCGTTTTGGTCCATCTCCACCAATGATAAAACGAACCTTCAACACAAATAAACCAACATAAAAAAGTGTCAAATGAGATTCACAAGATCATCCATCTCAAGATTGACATTACATTTAGTTCGCTAAATGGTTTTCTTTGATTTCCAAAAACCGACATGAAAAAAACAAATTCTAACTCCCATCAAACCCCTGACAAAAGAAAAAGGCAACAAACATAGCAGACCTCATAGAGCAACTATGTGACATACAGCTTTCTTCTCATGCTTTTGAACTCACATTTGGGTATAAACGACAAACTTCAGGGATGACCTCCACAAGAAGGTCTGCACCTTTCCGATAAACCAATCTACTTATCACAACAATTACAATTTCTTCACGGCTTAGACGAGTCTCAGCTGGCTTAAACATGGCCGCATCTACTGCATTTGGTATCATGAAAACTTTTTCAGGGGGCAAACCCGAGCGCAAGACTGTGTTTTCCTTGCTAGTATGAGAAACACAAATAGCCTGGTTCACATCTGACAAAGTAAATTGAAGCACCTTATTCATATGGATGCTTCCAACATCAGCAAAACCATAGAGCGAATGATCAGTGAAAACAACTTTGTAGCCCATAATCCTTGCATGCATTAAGGCTTCATGGCAGAGAGTTGAGAAAGCTTGGTGGCCATGAACCACAGATATCTTCTCTCTTATTAGGATTGTCCTAACAATAGGAAATGTGCCATAAATTGTAGGCAATGTATTTTGCATAAGAAAAGGCTTCCATGGCACATAGTAGACTTTCAAACCACCTGTCATGTATCGGACCCCTGTACGTGTTCCATATGCATGGGTCATAACCACAACCTGATTCATGCACACAGTCAAGGACCAGGAAAAGGAAGAGAACCAAAAGATGATACTTATAATGTGTACATAATAGTCAATGCATGTATGTTATGAATATGTTACTGTGTATGGATATGCAAATAGTATTTATGGTGGCATATAATTAGTTATATATTTATGTATATGGACGCTATTTTCCTACTTAGGCAATTGATCGAGAAGTTTAGGGAGAAGAGAAAAGACATCTCTACGGTCTTTATTGCTTTAGAGAAAGTAAGGAAACCTAGAGAGATAATTTGGTGGATGCTAGAATAGAAAGGAGCATCAAGAGGATATATTGACATGCGATGAACCCATATCTCTGCTTTGGTTTTAGACAAGTTAACTAGGCATCTACATGATGAGGTGCCATAGTGTAAGGGTGTTTGCATATGACAGTTTTGATTGATGAGACTAGAGACCACATGAATACAAAGTTAGAACTTTTGAGGGATGTTTTAGAATTTAAAGGTTTTAAAATTAGACGAACTACGACAAATATATCGAATGCAAGTTTAGTAATAATAGGCTCAGAAACGAGGAATTAATTAAGATTGATGACCAAGAAGTATCTAAACGATGTTAGTTTCGATATCTTTGGTTGATAATCCATGAGAGAAGAGAGATTGAGGAAGATGTTGCTCATAGGATTAGAGCTAAGTAGACAAAGTGGAGATGTATTTCTAGAGTCATATATGATCATCTCATCCCAATGAAGCTAAAGGAGAAGTTCCATAAGACGGCTATAAGACCAGCTATGCTTTATGGGAAGGAATATTGGGCGATTAAGAAACAACATATCCATAGAATTAGTGTAGTTGAGATGAGAATGTTGAGATGGATTAGTGGCAAGATAAGGAAGGATGATTTCGGAATTAATACATTCGAGGGAACTTAGGGGTAGCTCCAATAGGCGATACGATGAGGAAAAGTAGACTTTGGTGGGCTGGTCATACTACATGTGCAGTGTCAACCTAGAACAGACCAGTTAGGAAGTGATTTGGTACAAGTCAAAGGCTCTAGAAGGGTAACGGGAAGGCCCCAAAAGATATGGATGGAAGTAATGAGAAAATATATGACAGCTTATGGTCTGACCGAAGGTATGACCCTTGATAGAACGGAATGACGGAATAGGATTTCTGCAGCCATAATAAAATGTTTTGTAGCCCTACTTCCCAAATATCAGATAAAATGTTACCCATTACACAAAATCTAAAACTCAGAATTCTGAGAACTCATCAACACTTGAGATGGAATGCAATTACATGACTATAAGATCACATAATAGGGTAGCAGGGGAGGGGGGAGAGAGATCTTTAGAAAAGAGCCGTAAGATTATCTGACCTTGTGACCAAGCTCAAGCAAGCATTGAGAGAGATAATATAAGTGATTCTCGACACCACCAAAATTGGGGTAAAAGAAATCGGAGACCATCAAAACCCTATGTCTTCTCTGTACAGCCATTGCAATTTTCATAAGAGTTTGCTGCAAAAAAGAAACAAAAATCAGAGCATAAGTCACCACTCAAACAATAGGAGGTAAAGAAAGCGCAAATAATAAACACCAACCTGCCATTGTTCCATTGAAAAATCTTTTAGACTGCCAAGTTAATCGCTTTGGGAAAAACAGCTATGAAATCATGTACATAAACGAATCAATTGGATTTATGCAAAACAGAAAAGTAAGAAAGAATTCTTTTTCTTATTAGATTTACGGAAAGAGTTAGGGCAAGAAAGAACTATTTTCCTTATTAGATTTATTGAAAGAGTTAGGACACAAAATTCAATGGTATGAATTTTGATATGACACTCCAGCCGAAGTAGAAACAGCAAGATTGCCGATTTCAGAGTTTTAAGTGTAAAGTAAACACAAGACGGAAGCTAGAGATAAAATAACAAAAACAATTCAGCTGCATTAACATTTGGAACTTTGTATTGAGCTCATACCAATTTCTTTTTAAATAGCTACTAACAAAACTTCGCCATTTCATTACATGCATGCACACTGAGCAACACTAAATTCGTTAAAGACTGAGAAAATGTGCCATGGAATGAAAAATTCCCCAAAATTACCTGTTTAAATATAAGCAAAAAGCAATCTGAGTGGATTTTCTCCAAGTTTAGTGTTATCAAATTAAGCCAAATAGAAAACAAGTGAAATGAAACCGAAGCTGTGTCCATTTCAGTGATAATTAAAAGGAAAAATCAGTTAATTTCATCAGAATATTCTTCCAGAAAATAATCAATAATCCAGGAAGATCAAGAAAAGCTAACCATCAACCGAGAAAAATTTAAAACCCATTTTTTACAGTAAATCACCGGAATGAAAGAACATTTCTGGTAATCTATCCATTGATTTACAGTGATTTACAATGTTTAATCAGAGATAAGTACAAATAAACCACTCGTTAAAAACAGAGTGCACACTCCTAATCACACACTCCTAATCACTGATTTACATGTTCAGCATTTTATAGCTCAAAAAAACTCATTTCTTCGAAAAAAAAGGATTTTCTGATTTTCTTCCAAACAAATCATTCCATCTAATTGATGCAGCTCAAAAAATCCTAAATAGAAGGAATCAACATACCTGATTTCGAGATTGTTGGTTTCTTGCTCTTCAAATTTGTGATTTGCAGAAATATGGAGTTCTTTTTTTTCTCTCTGGATTCTCAAGGTAATGTTTTCCTGGTTTGAATGTTGTTGCTTTTGATCTTGACGGATTGATACAGCAGCTGAAATTTGTGTGTGTGTGTGTGTGAGAGAGAGAGAGAGAGAGAGAGAGAAGAGGGAGAGTGAGCGGCTGAAAATGTGGAGAGTAAGGGGAAAGGCGTTTTCGTGGAGAGAGAGAGAGGAGAGAGGGGTTGCTCGCACAGGGTAAGAGAGAGAGAGAGAGCAGAAAGGAGAAAGCAGTCAGGGATGGCAACGGGCGGGCCGTGGCGTGAGCCCGGCTAAAACTAATAGCAAAACTTTAAATAAAAATAAAACAAAAAAATACAAAAGCTGGGCCAATAGCACCGCGGCGCCACTAACCCTAGTTTCGCCCTCGTCGGTGGCTTAGGCCGGCCCCTCAGGCCAAGCCAGGCCAACCGGCCTATTGCCGGCCTGAGGGAGAGGGAGATCGTGGAGCAAAGAGAGATTCATGTTTGTTCTTTGGACCTTAGTTTCTAAAACTCTTTGTTTTTTGGTAAATAAATATCTTTACGAAAGTAAAACCGGTGATGAACAAGTAACCAAAAATAGGCAGCAAAGACAATAACACGAAAACGAATATCAAATTTTAACATGGTTCGTCGTAGACGTGACTATTTCTATTAGAGAAGATAGTAAATAGCTTTTTTATACAGGGTATGGTTTTTATCAGATTGCCACCTTAAACAAATTTTAGGAGGCGTACTTCCAAATTTATAATAAATATAATTTTGATATAAAAAATTATTAAGATGGTTTGAGAATCTATTTTCATCTTTAATGATAAAATATTAAACTCCAAAAATAGTCTAAATCAAATAAATCTTCAAACACTCAAAAAATCTTGAAAATAGACGATCTAGCTAATAATAATTCCTATATAACATGAAACATCATTACGAACTAGGAAGTCCTTAAAAAAAAAAAAAAATAATTTTGTAGTGGGAGGGAGGGATAAAGAATAAGAGTAGAGAGAGAAAGAGAGACAACGATAGAAGATGAGTTAAAAGAGGAGAGAGGAAAGAAGAGGTTCATTATTATCATTATCATGAACTTCATACGCAACTGTATTGAACAGGCTACTTAATAGGTAAGGAGGTTAGTCCAGTCTAAACTAATTCAACTACTTGTCGAATAGGTTGGATTGAATTTTCAAAAATAAAAAAATAAGAATAATAGTTTGAAAATAAAATATATTTAAAAATTTGCCTAATTTTATTTAATTAATATAGCTACTCTGACTAATCAAAACTGATCAAATACAAGTTTTAACTAGATTTTTAATAAATTGGAATTTTGCTTTGACTAAATCAGCCAAAACATCGGTTGGTAGTTTGATCGGTATGACCAATAGACTAATCCAATCTTAATACTATAGTACAAACGAGTTTGTATGCATAACAAGAGACCTAGCCCCAAGTTCGATCTCGAGAATTGGTTTTTATACATACCAATATAATAAAGGATTATATACAATGGGACCATTTACTTTTGGTACATAGAGGTCACAATTGCGTATAACCATTTAATGTGAAATTTAATAGTATCGGTCTATCACAAAATTAAAAAAAAAAAAAATTGGGTGTGGTCAATGGAATAAATATTGCCACATTAATTATGACCATCTTTTCCAAAAAGTAAATAGTCTCATTGTATATTTTTCCATATCAAAACACTCAAACAAGAAAAAACAATGTTAAGAGCAACAAAAAGCATATGTTGAGTCTATGTAAAGATTGAGAACCTCCATAAAATAACATTAAAGCAAAAGAAAAAACTCCATGAAATGTTGGGAGGGCTCACATGATTGCATTTAAGGACTGCTAAGATGTTCTACTCTTTTTTCTCATATTAAGGATAGGTCTTTTTTTTGCAGTCTTCTAGATCTTGGTGTATTAGCTCTGTGCTTTACTATTATGGACGATTTTTTTTAAGCATCAATCCTACTTGAAGTTAAAGAAAAGTATACAAAACGAATATTTACTTTTTGTACGAGGAGGTCATAATTATTCATTTCCATCATATTTTAAAAGAGTGAAATTAACTACACTCAAAGTTACAAATAAAAATTTCTCGAGCTTTATGATACTAATTTTACATCTAATAACTAAGGGTTATTATCACCTCCTTGTAACAAAGATAATAGTCGCATGGTATACAATCTCCTTAGTTAAATTAATGCCATACTGGGGTTCTATCACTTGTAGCAAAACAAAACAAGCATCTTTCTAGGCAAAAAAACAAGTATATTATCTTAGTGACATATAAAGAACAATGAGTGTCTTTTTTCACAAATGCATTTATTGGCATGTGAAAATAAGAGTTGAGCAGGACTATATGAGTGTCCAAACTCCTACCAGGGCTTTAAGTGCGTTTGGCTATTCATACGTAGATACACAAACACACATACACACAGACAGAGAGGGTGTAATGGATTGTTCATATCCGTCATGAAATTAAAACTTCATATGATATCCTCTCTCAAATTTTTCTTTCCAAAAAAAAAAAACAATTGAACATGCAACAGTCAGTGGTTCACTCCTAAATGGCCTTCTTATTCTTCCAAGTGAGCGATCCCAAGATCTTGTTCTTGATGCCGTCCCTCCTTTGGTTCTGACTTGAAAATAACTCATGATCCTATCAACAACAAAAGTTAATAAATAAATAAAAAAAAGGAAAATAAAAAAAAGAAAGAAAATAAAAAAAGGGAGAGAAAAAAAATCTTTAATATAAGTGATTGTACTATTTATCTTTTGTACATAGCGGTCACAATCATTTTTGTCCTTTAAATTTCAAAATGGGTAGTTGTAAGAGTGTCATTGAATAGACACAAATTTTATATAAGGTTACAATCTTATACTATTGAAGTAATGTGCACTTCAAAAGTCGTCTACAAAAGAGTGTTCTGACATTGAAGAACCCTCAAACAATCGTATCAATTTCAAGATGTGTGGATATGAAGGGAAAAAAAAATTTCAAGTCCTAAAAATAGTGCATTGTAATAAGTTATATGGGCCGTCTATTTTCAATATTTTCAAATGTTTATAGATATGCTTAATTTAGACTATATTTAAAATTTTATAACTAGGACTAAAAATAGATTTGCAAGTCATCATAAAGTTTTTGAAATTAAAACATCTCCAAGTATATTTTAGAGGTATGTCTTCTATGGTATAGTATAAAGAGGGTGTCTCATACAAACCTCACACCTAGTATGAAACTACATTTGAATATTATTATAAAAAGAAAATGTGTTTTATGTGTTAGAGAGAGAGAGAAAAGTTCATGAGGCAATAATTAACCATTTTTAAAAGGCATTTGAAGCATAGGCCTAAGGCAAACATTAGCTAGGTTTCTTTCAAAAAGCTTATGGTTGATGTAACGAGGGAGATTCATAACGAGTCTCTCATGGATGGAGCTCCTGAGCCAGGTGGGTTTCCTCTTGTCTTTTTTTATCATCTGAGTGAAGATATTTTATTGGTGGGCTAGACTATATATTAGGTCTTCTCCACTAATCCAACCTCCACTAACTTATTGATCTAGATGATCTTGGATGCTTATAATTTTTGCGTGCTACAGTATGATCGTGAGGTTTACAATTTGACCGGAAAAACCAAATGTTTTCTTTATTTTAATGATAAAATAAATAAAAGAGACGAGAATCCAACCATTGAAAGGCCACTAAGAGGAGAAGGATCAAGAGACTTGGAGTGCGTAGACATGGCTGTAAATCCTGAAAGAACCATTTAAACAAGGAAAAAGTTTATGTAAGGATGCAACTTTATAATGTAGAACTACAGATCCACCTCAAAAATCTATCGGAAAATGTAGTTTTAATGTTGAAAAATCCTTTGATTGATCATCTCGACATCAAAATTTATGACCATGAAAAATAAAAAGATTTTAAGTCTTAGAAATAGTGCATTTTACAACATATTATCTACACCGTCCATTTTCAAGATTTTTATATGTTTATAGATCTACTTGATTTTAACCATTTTTTAAATTTAAAATTTTATAATTAGATATAAAATTAGATTTTGAGATAATCCTAATAACAATTTACATCAAAATTATATATCATGATAAAATTTGAATGTGCACCTTACCTCTACAGCTACGGATGCATCTGTATGCCAACTGCACCCTTTAAACAATACCATAAATATAGAAATCTTGTTATGTGAAAGTATACCATAAGATTGTTTAATTTATTTATTTTTGTACTAAATAGTTACAATCGTCCCTAGCTGTTAGAAGTGAAATCGAGTGGTTTGAAAATTGCTATTGGTCATGCTCAAAGCGAAAGAAAATAGTTTTTGAGTTTATGTCGAGAAATGAACCAATTTCACATCTAACCACCTGAGCTGATTGTGAATTTCTCATATCAAAGGTAAGTAGTCTTATAATAAACAAACTTTATTATTAGCATGAATTCTCATAGAAAAGAACTATTAGATCCCTCCCCAACATTGAAAGTAGATAAGAATTCAAATATTAATTACCAAAATGTACATACATCAATGTTGGATAGGATCCAAGAGTCATGAACCTTTCCATTACATAATCTCTAGGGAAATTTTTCTTAATTTCCAGGATTTCCTAGTTATTAATTTCCTTTTGGTTATTGTTGATGGTTATTCTGTAAAGGGAAAGTTTGAGAATTACCATTTAATTTTGGTTTAAGAAGATAACAGTCATGCCTAGCTATCATATGTGAAGTCAGGCGGCTAGGGGTAATGTTATTCATCACACTCAACATATGAGAAAAGTTTTCTCGAACTTTGAGTGGAGAAATGATGCACTCTTCATTGCTTTATTTTACATCTAATTGCTAGAGGTGACTATCGCCTTCCTGCACAAAAAATAAACGGCCTTATAGCATATAATCTTTTTATAAAAGTATGAATAACGATGCTATTTTTATTATTAATATTCATACTATGGAAGCCAACCCCAATTAGTTAAAAAAATGCTATGACGATGATGAATATTCATACTCTATGAGAATGATATGTCTTTCAAACATGCATGATATGGCTTAATTCAATCGACATTTTGTTGTATTTTGATCAGGCCGGTCCGCTGAAAAAATGTGGGATCTACCCATTTCTAGGGTTCCAACCCTTTTGAAACATGTAGAACTTAACCCTATAAACTCATACTTTGAAATCAATAAATTGAATATAGTGTTATTAAATGAATATAGTGTTGGCAGTAAAAAACCAAAAAAGGGGAACTTAACCGTAATTACCCTGCTCATTATCATTCCTAAATATACTTACTTTTGGATATATGGCCACTTGTAGGATCCTTGTTTTCCCTGCAAGTAAGAGAGATATGTTTATGAGAATCAAAATAAACTCTCACCGTTGAGCTCTTATAGTGTATTCCTGCAGGACCACAATATACACTAACTCTTTTAGGCAAAATACCTAAAAAGAAAAGGCTAGGCCAGCTTGTTTTATTTTATTTTATTTTATCAATATTTTCGGGAATTGGAATTTGGCTTGAATTTCTAGCAATTGATTTGAGAACACTACATTTGAGTTTGATCCGTATCACAAAACTACCAAATAGAAAATATGAATCCCTTAGGCAAAAAACTACTTAAAAGGGTTTTTTAGGATCTATTTAAATAGTTCGATGAGTTTTTTCAAACAAATGTATAACTAATAATAATAAAGTCTTTAAACACTCGAATCCGACCATCCAAAAATAAGATAATTTCTATTTAATCCTAAGATGTTATAAGATAAATATGGTGTGCTTGTGTTTTAAATATTATTTTTTAAATTTTAGGTTAGTTCCTAGGTTGTTGGTTACATTCCAAACTTTCGGGGTCTTAAAAATAGAAAATACTCCTAAATGCAGTTTTAATCGAGGGAGTGAATGTACAATATGCCATCAAGTAATATTTTAAGTTTATTATAACTAATTGTTGGTGGGCTTCTTCTTTTATATTATGAGAATTAAGAAAATGAGAAAATCGACTACATTTGACATTTTCCATAGAAAATAGACAGAATTTAGTGTCATACCTTGCAATAACATCTGAATTCTTGTCCTCCAAGGTACCCGTGTCTAAATAGGAAAGTTAAAATGAAATGTTAAAAACTAAGTCGCAATAACATAAGTCCAAAAATTGTATAAAGAAATTCAATTTTATTTGAATGGTGTAGATTTAATACTATTTTAAAAGATGCGTCATTTTTTGGTATTAACTGAAAAGACATGTCAAATCTATATCATCTACTATAAAACTTTACAACTTACTTCTACAAGTAAGGTTGCAACTTTGTACAAGCCACACCCACTATATATATATATATATATATGTATATATGCTGAATAAGTTCAGGACATGGACCCAACGCAATAAGGTCATGGATAGCCCAAACCTAAAGCTTACCCAAGATCGGGTCCAAGTCAAAGAGACCCGAACACGACCCGCCATGTCCAAAATTCGGGTCTAGACCTAGAACCGTGTCAACCCGTCAATCGGCTGGTCAATTCGACTGCCACGCATGATGACACTTACTTTTTTATAAAGGTTGTATATTTTCTCCCCTAATGTGTTAAAGAAATAAAAAAAATTAAAAATTACCCAAACACTCGTAGCTCTTGTAATATCTTGCATATCTCCATGCCCAACGTTGCTCATTGAGGCCTTCTCTCTCACTGAATTCTTTGCATGTCAAGACCCTCTACAAATCATTAATTCATGTAATTAACGTCTCCTCAATTAACAGGTGGAAAAAGGGTGCGGTTTGTATGAATTCGAGGCTCTAAACAATCAAAGTAGAACATACATTCAAATAGTTTCTAGAAATGTGGTTTCAATACTGAAAATTGATAGTTTTAAAATATATTTTTATCTCTAATTATAAAATTTAAAGCTTCAAAAATAGTGTAAATCAAGCATATCTATGAAAACTTGAAAATTGACGATCCAAAAATGCAATACAAGATGCACTATTTCCAAAACTTGAAATTTTTTTTTTTTCATGTCCATACATATTGAGGCCAAGGCCAAGATGATTAATTTGGAGATATTTGAGCACCAAAACAACCTCTTCTAGTAAAATTTTTGAGATGCACCTTAATTTGATTGTTTAGAATTTCGCACTTATATAAAATTTTTTTTTTTCCAAAAATGGTTTTATCATACTTTTCTAATAACGAGAACAAAATGCCCTTTGACAACATAAAGAGTCACACAAAATAACTCAGTGCTCCCAAAAATCATTTTTCTTAAAACGAAAAGAATACCCTTAAATGTAGAAACTAAATAGCATTTACCCAAAAAATATGAACCTACAAAATCAGGGATTCTTGGTGACCTTCAAATTTCAATCAAACTATGCAATAATATTTACTCCAAAACTTTCTTTGTTTTTTTTAGCGGTAGAGAATACAAGCCCCTGCCCTTTTTAAAAATAATTAATGGTTTTTTAATGTGTCACTGGGAATAAAAATCTAGATCGGTCAAGTGGTGCTACCACCACAACCTCAACCCCACTCCTGTATTTACACCAAAATGTATGAAGACTTTAGAACCATTGGGATTGGCAAGGGACTTGGCCATGAAAAAAGTAGGGTCTAGGCCTAAACTATGGCCCGAGGGCTGGATTAGAGCCAATAACGGCTCGTTCTGGCCTGATTTTTTTTCTTCATTTGTTTATTAGCTAGTACCAGGGCAAAGGTGGGCCCAGCCTAGGTTTGGCTCGTTGCCACCACCCTTGGGAACCATTTTGACACTGAACTTTGTATCAAAAATAGGAATTCTAAGTCACCATTTTATAAGAGATGAGAAAAAAAATAATAATAATAATAATTGGTTAGCTTACGTTTTTTAAGCAGTCGATCCTCAAATGAGTATTGGAAACATGGTTTGAGGTATCGGATAAAAGAGACTCCAAAATTGAAGATAGATTCCCAAGATGATCCAAAGTTGCAACCACGGAATTTGCTATGTATTCCTTAGCATCCAGGATCACTCTGCATTCAAAATTTCAAGTCTCATGTCAAAAGAAGCGAAATAAATATATATATATATAGAGATATATATATATATATGTTGAGATTAACCCACTAGCTCATATTGACATATGAGCTCAATAGTCCATATTGAATTTAGGTCAATTTGACGGTCACAACCTCATTTTGTGTTTGAATTTAAATTTTTTTTCTACAAATCCAAATAACTTGAAATTTTATGTGTGTATTCTTCAAAAATAAAAAAATTTAATAAAAATATCAAAAAATAATAACTTGCAATAAATACTATTTGCAATGTCCTAGGCTTAATTTGTTAGCACTCAACAATTTGCAACACCCTAGGCTCAATTCCTACCAATGGTTGGAGCCCTCTCCCCACTGACTCCCCCACGAAAAAAAAAAAACCCAAATGCACCTCCTACTCAAACAGGTTTTTAACTACTTGGGTTTTCTTTAACCCAGCTAGGTGTTCTTTAAACCGGCCGGTTATTCAACTATCCCCGTCTCTCTCTCTCTCAAGCAACATGGCCCCTACCCTTCTCTCTCCCTCTCTCTCTAGCTTCCTCTCTCTTTGTCAGAGGCAACAGAGCCCTCCCCTACTCTTTTTCGCTCTCCCCCTCTCTCTCTAGCTTCCTACCTTTCCCTCTCTCTCAAAAGGGACTTGCCCGACTCGGGCCGAGTTACACAATTACTGTTTCTCGGCCCGGCTCATGGCCCAATGTTGGTCCCAATTCGGGCAATCCTACACTGGTATATACATACATGTGTGAATCAACAACATAATATGTTAATTCAAATATTGAAAAATTGGAGTAAACACCCTTCCTCGTTATGTGCACACACATATATTCACATACATGAATACATGCAAAAAATTCATACATATATACATATACATCATCTATTCTTATGTACATATATGTATATGTATGCATGCATGTACACATACATATATGTATATACATAAATACATATATAAATATTCAAATTCTCAAATGAATATTGTTTACAAAATACTTGCATTTTGCTCCACTTCGTATGTACCATGGTATTAAAAGACACCGATCCATATCTGAATGGCCTGATCCAAGTTGTGAAAGACGCCGATCCAGATATGAATGGCCCAATCCAAGTTGGGAATTGGTGGGTCCGGTCCAATTCCGAATATATATTGGGAATCAACCAGTTCTGGCTAGGAATAGGATGATACGGCCCCACTTTTTAGTTTTTGTTATTTTCTCAATATTTATTTTAGTTTTTTTATTCTTTCTTGGATCTGGTACTCCAATCAGCAAATGTGGACCGGTTTTCCAGATGGGCGATCCCGATCACCTATCTATATTATGTATATACATACATGCATGCTCACATATACATGCATATTCTTGAAGGAATATTGTTAAAGAAAATACTTGCATTTTGCTCCGATTCTTCTTCATGAAAGAAAGCTCGTAGTAGTCAGCAGCATGGTGCAGATGACGCCGCAAAGCTTTGAGTTCCTATAATAAGAAAAGACACCTAAAATGTCTTTATTCACAATAAATTTTTTTAAAAAAAATGATTTGATAGGGCTGCAGGTCAAACATCACAACTCATGAAAAATTGCAATTCAAGGATTAGAAAGGATGAAGTTTTTATACGGCCTAGGCTTTATAAAAATAAAATAAAGCCTCACCTCAAATCTTCATCTGAAAAGTACTTTCGATAATAGAAATCTCCATGATGTCTCTAAAATCAAGTTTCAATGCCAACAATGAAATTTGAAACTTAAAAAATATACATACCTTGTGGATCTATGAACATTTATATTTAGGGAGAAATGGACAGTCTAGATAATTTGTTACAACATATATCATTTTTTTAGCTTGAAATACTAGTTTCTTTTCACAACCATAATGTTTAAGTCAAGATGATCGATGTAAAAGCTTTCTAATGCTTGAATTGTAATTTTTGATGAGTTATGAAGTGAGGCTATACTTATTTTGATAGGGTTGTAGCCTAATCAAACAATTTTTCCATTAGAAAACCTTTACATCAATCATCTTGGCTTGAACATTATAGTTTTTAAAAAAAAGAAAAAATTTCAAACTCTAGAAATAGTGTATATTGTAACAAACTATCTAGATGGTCCTTTTTTCCTTAAAAATAAGTGTTCATAGATCTACAAGATTTGTACTACTTTTTTAGTTTCGAATCTTATTGTCAGTGTTGGAACTTGATTTTCGAGCCATTATGGATGTTTCTGTTGCTGAAAATACTTTCCAAACATGAAATTGAGGGGAGGGTTTATTTTATTTTCATAAAGCCTATGCCTTATAGACACCTCACCCTTTTAAAAATAGTAAAATACAATTATAAACTATAAATTGAACTAAAAATTTGAATAAAATAAAATAAAAACAAAAATGCTTTCATACTACAAATATAAATAATGAATTGCACTGGAAATATGAAAGATAACTTCCATAATACAATACAAACAAGAATTGCACTGAGAAAATGAAAGAAACTTTTGAAAATACAAAATCAAAATAAAAGAATTGCATCAGGAAAATGAAGAAACGAAAGAAAATTTTGAAAATACAAATCAAGATAAAGAAATTGAATTAGAAAAACGTAGAACAGGGGGGATATGGATGAAGAAGCAAACTTGCAAGGCTTTATGGAGTTCTGATGCCTCTTCTCCCGGAAGGAGTCTTTCTTCTTCGATGGTTTCCATAGAGAGAAGCAAACAAGGAACTTTTAGCTATAGAGAGAGAGATTGTTTCAATCTCTGATACATATATGAGAGAGAGAGAGGAGCAAACAAGGAAGTTGCAGCTATAAATGGAGAGAGAGATTATTTCAACCTTTAATGGAGAGAGATGTTTCCACTTTTGACAGATTTGTTTAACGTTTCAACTTTGGAGACAGAGAGACAGAATCCTTTCAACTCTAAACAGAGAGAGAGAGAGAGATGTTTTGGCCCGTGACGACTGCAAGCTATTGTCTGTGCAATCTCTCATGTAGATCAATCATGGAGCCCAAAATCCCACTGAAAATTCTTGCTGGTGGAGAGAGAGAGAGAGATGTTTTGACCCGTGATGACTGCTTACTGTCGTCTGTCCAAGGCTTTCATTCATGTAGATCGATCATGGACGCAAAAATCCCCACTAAAATTTCTGGCAAATAGAGAGAGAACAATAAGTAATAAGACTGTGTGTGGGTGTGATAATATTATATATACGTACAATACAAAAAGGAATTAGAGGGAAATAAGAAGGAACAAGAGAGAATGATAATTGCTAAAGGAGACAGTAAAGGGAAAAAGACATAATCATAGAAAGTAGAATGAGCAGGGGAAGTGATAATATCATAATTTAGAAACGATCGAACCATAATGGTTAACCGGACATGTGGATGGAAGCGATTCAACTAGCCTAGCTAGTAAACTGGTCGGTTCAACCGTCTTAGTTGAGCACCTCTTGGGCGGTTAAAAAAAGTGTTGAAAAAATAAATAAAAAAATCTAATAAAATATGCAAAGCATATTTAAAATATGATTAAACAAAACACATTGTTTTTTAAATCTTCTAAAAAATTGAGAAAATGTAAAAATAAGTATTAATGGCCAATATAATTTCCAATTTTTTGCCAAAATGATAAAAAAGATTAAAAAATACATTACAAACAAAATCCCTTATTTTTTGAGATTTTACATAATTTTTTAAAAAATACCTATCAATTCACCAAACCGACCCAAACCAAAACCAGCCACCAATCTAAATGGGTCTAACCGAGCAACTAGAATTTGAACCACCCGATTTTTCGTAACTGATACAAGAGAATGATATATATATATATAAAAAGAAAGGAATGAGAGGAAAATAAAAAGAAACAAAAAGATAGAACGAAAACTCAAAAGAGAGAGAGAGTACAAAAAGAAAGAAGAAATAATCAAAGAAAGTAGAGTGAGTTGGGGAAGTAATAATATCATAATAAAAGACTAAGAAAAACTAAGAGAGAGAGAGAGGATTGAGGAGATATAAGGAACAAGAGAGAGAGAGAGTGACAATTCCAAAAGGAGAGAGAGTGTACGAAAAGGCAGAGGAAACAATGAAAAAACGTAGAGTGAGGAGGGGAAAGTGATATATTTAGAGAGAGAAAGAGTACAAAAAGGAAAAGGAGAATGAGATCGATTGAATGAGGGGAAATGATATATTTTTGTTTTGTTGCTGGACATGAGCCCGTGACACAACGTTTTATTCGAAGGCATCCACTTCGAAGCTCGAACAAGACATGGTCTCGTGATTTTATTTGCTTTCAGTCACCATCCAAATGACATTCCATCACCTGCCTCTCTCTTTAACTCTTTATCATTTATCATCTCTCTCTCCATCTAATGTCAATTTTGTTTTAGGGAAAATTTCAGGTACACTCTGGATAGGGTAGTAACGGGTCAGCTCCGGCTCGACCGAACCCGGACCCAAATAGTATTCGGGTTTTGAATATGGACCTGACCTTTTAGGCCCAAAATCTAAATCCATATCTAGACTTGAGATCGGGTCTTCCCATTGGGTCTCAAGTCTGGTCGGGTCCATGGCCACCCTTACACCTGGACTCTAATTTCTAAGCATTACCCATCAATACTTTATTGTTCCAACCAGCCCCTTCAATAATAATAATAATAATAATAATAATAATAATAAAATTATATTTTTTGGACCGAAATACCCCTTTCCCACACCCCATTTTAACCGACATTTCTCTTTTTCTTATCACTCTCCCACTTTTTGTGAGCTGGTCCGATTTTACCCGACATCCACAATTTGAATAGGGTGTAATTTGCGTAAGTTTTGTAACCTTAAACAATCAAAATAAAGTGTACCTCCAAAGTTTGTCATGAGATGCAATTTTGGTTTTGAAAATTCTTAAGATAGTGCAGGAATATGTGTTTATAAAATTTTAAAGACCAAAAATAGTTCAAATCAATAAGAGCTGTAAACATCACGATGTTGCAATGATCAAATTAGATGGTTTCCAACATCAAAACAACATTTTTTGAAGGATTGTACACCTTAACTCTACATTTTAAGATGTCAACCTTATGAACCTTTTTGTTTTAGATAATTACAACTTATATACATTTTTTCCATTTAATATCGTAAGACACGCAAAATTTTAATATCAAAAAAAAAAATTGCATCGGATGGGAACATTTTATTAGAAGTTGGTCCGACATATTATTGGGCTTGACGAACACATTTTGGGCATCATATTTTGGGTGGGAGAGAAATGTAGGTGGAAATGGGGGGCATTTTCATCCAAAAACTTCAATTTTGTGGTGGGTGAAAAATAAATTAGAGTTAATAGTGTAATTTAAAAACTATTTGGAGCAAAGGCTAAACGGTAGGGTCCAGGGATATCAGCAATTTGCCCTTTACTTTATCATACGTCTCAAATGTCACGTTCTTTGAAAGTCAGCATCTCTCCAGTAAAACAAGCCTTAGATCTCTCTCAACTCTCTCAAATTTAAGCCTAAGATTTCAAGCTAAAAACCAATGGAGGAAGCTATTCACCCCAAAACAAGCCTCTAGCCTCTCTCTCTCTCTCCCATAAATTAAGTCTAAAATTTCGATCTAAAAACCAATGAAAATGACATGGTAACAATGTTTGCCTACAGTAGGGAGAAGCTGCACTACCAAAATGGAAATGACATGGTCACAATGTTTGCCTACAGTAGGGAGAAGCGGCACTACCAAATGACTATATGCTCTAAAGGAGCATAACCTATATTTAGTCTCTTGGCACGGCGTCCTATATTGAAATACCCAATATGTAGGAGTACCCTAGGGGTGGTGCTCTAAAGGAGCATAACCTATATTTAGTCTCTTGGCACGGCTCCTATATTGAAATACCCTATATGTAGGAGTACCCTAGGGGTGGCAACAGGTAGGGATGGAAACCCAGTCCCGACGAGAGAGAGAGATCAAAATCCTAAAAAAAGAGAGTAAAATTCGTTATGAGAGGATCAATCCTGAACGTGCATCTTTTAAAAGAATAACAGTGAAGACCTTAAACAATCCAATTGAGGCACACCTCCAAATTTTATCATAACATGTGACTTTGTTGGCAAAAATTCTTAGGATTATCTTAAAATATATTTTCATATCTAATTAGTAAATTTTAAATTCCAAAAATAGTTAAAATCAAGTAGATCTATAAATATATGAAAATCTTGAAAATATACGGTCTAGATAATGTGTTGCAAGATCTAATATTCTGGGATTCAAAAAAAAAAATTTTCATATTCATACATCTCGATATCGAGATGATCAATTAGAGGGTTTTTCAAAATTAAAACAACATTTCCAATAGATTTTTGAAGTGCATTTATGATTCTACATTTTAATGTTGCAATCTTATATAAACTTTTCCCTTACATAAATACATATGTATTATTTAATTATTATAATTATAAATATATATTTAAAATAAATTAATAAAATTTAAGTCTAATTTAGCTTGGGTCCACATGGACCCAAACCAAACCTAAATACCATTCGAGTCCAAAATTTGAACCCGGACCCAACCTGCCGGATCCAAATCTTAGACCCATACCCAAAACCCAATCGAGTCAAGTCCCGATTGCCACCCCTTGAGTACCCCAACATAACCCTGTATATAATTCTTCCCACAATTGCAAGTGTTAATTCTTTTTATTAATCCATCATTACAATGTGATATTAACATTTTTTTTTGAAGATCTATTTATTTTTACTCCAAAAGTAAGCTTTTTTTAATTGAGTATTGAATAAATTTAAAGTTTTTAATTTGTTAAAATAAATCATATGGCTGTTATATTTATAAAAAAACGTGGACCATTTCGAACTCCCTATCGCTCTTTCTGTCTACATGTGCCCTTCTTTTTATCTACTACCTCTCTCTCTAATTATGTCATTTCTCTAACTCCTCTCTCCCCCTTACCCCTCTCGGATCATGCCCTAACTCCTCTCTCCCTCTCCCCGTCTCTCTCCAAGCATACCCTTTCATATGTCATCTCTCTCTCTCTCTCTCTCTCTCTCTCTAAATCCTCATCCCCTTTTACCCTTCCATTTCTTTAAAAAACACTTACTCCCTTTTACCCTTCCATTTCTTTAAAAAACACTTGTTCCCTTTTACCCTTCCATTTCTTTAAAAAACACAACACAACACTTGGGCATGGCCTTTGAGCGTAGCATGAGTCCAATCCATTGTCAAACCCAACTACAATACCATAATCCCTTTAATATAAAGTAGACATTCAGGAAATCTGTGTTTGTCACCCTTATAAAAAATATATGTAATTGCCATTCCTAGTTGTCAGATTCAGATCTAAATAGGTAATTGTGATACCTTTGGTCATAATGTCACAGTTCTAATCTTGATCAAACGGCAGAGCTCCAATCTAGTATATTTCAGATGCGTCTGAAAGCTTTTCCCCAATTATCCAATGGCCACTCTCACAAGATAGAAAGGGCAAATGAATTCACACAATAGGTTCCACAAAAAGTCTCAAACAATATCAAACTACTTACAAGAATATCATAAGTACGTAGAACATTCACAATTATCCAATGCTCTCTCTCTCTCACTGAAAATATCAGTATATTAGACACTCGCAATTATCCTACTCTCTCTCTATATATATATATATATATATATATATATCTTGTCTAGATGGAAAGGATAAAACCAATTTACAGAAGGGTGAGGTTTGTAAAAGGTGTCAAACTTAAACAATCATAGTAAGATACACCTCAAAATCTTATTATAAGATGTATTTTAGGCACCAAACACTTATGATCGACCTAGAACTTATTTTTCACCCTTACTGTGAAATTGAAAACTCCAAAAATAGTGCAAATCTAACAAATCTTTAAATATCTTAACAATAGATGGTCTAGATAATGTGGTACAAGATGTATTATTATTATTACTTTAAATTCAATTTTTCTTTCATATTCATACAAATTGAAGTGGAGAGGATCAATCGAAGGGTTTTCTCATGACTAAACAACTTTTTCTGATGAGTTTTGAAGTGCACCTTACTTGTACAGTATAAGGTTGCCACCTTATGTGAACTTTTTTCTTTACAGAGCAGGTTCTACAAAGAGACTTAAACAATATCATTCTTCCGCAACTAATTAAAACAATGGCATTAGCGTGTTAGACATTCACAATTATCCAACCCTCTCTCTCTTTCTCCACCCCTCTCTCTCTCTAGACATTCACAATTATCCCTCCCTCTCTCTCTCTCTCTAGACATTCACAATCATCCATCTCTCTCTCTCTCATCCAACAGCAGGATAGACCTTCTTGATATCCCACCACAGTCGAAAGTTACGACGCACAAAAAGATCAACAGGCGAAGGGAGAAAAGGAGCATACAGAAAAACAGAGAGCGAAAGACATAGGGATATTATAGCCCACAAACTAAGTTTAACTCTATGCTCTTAGCCTTCCCGAATTGCCTCGCTCTTTAAAATCTCCACCCTCCCATTCCAGCCCATCATCTTCCTCGTCATCCGAAGAGAGAAGCGACGAACCCATCCATGCCTTGAAACCTTCATTAACCCTCCTCTCCATCTCTGGTGTAACCAGCACTGGTGGAGCCTCAAGCATCTCGACACCACCGTTTCGGTTGCCGGAGAACTCACCTTCATCAAGTATTAAGGCTGCCTTTCTCCTCAAGAAATGAGCTGTGCCCCCATATAGGACAACGAGAGCCCAACAAGCAATCTCATAGCACCAAAAGAGAGCGGCTGAGCAGCTGCTGCCTAGGGTGAGAATGCTTGAGCCAAGGAATGTAGCAAGGAGGCCAAAAATTATGGCAAATGTGATGTTTAGTATAGATAGGCAGCGAACCCCGCCTGAAGGAAAGAGAATGAAAACAGGACCCATGTCACTTTTTATTTTTGTATTTGATAAGTCTATTTTTCTTTGTTCATAAGTTATTGACAAGCCTTTTATTAGGTGCATTTTCATGTTTTTTACACTTTAGATCAGTTCGATAGGAGGTTCGCAACTCAGACCCCTATCTCTGCAAACAGGGGAGTCTAAACTGGTTGACAATTGATGAGTGGCTATTTCAGGAAGGAAGAAGATTATATAAGCAAACTGGCTGATACTGCAACATATGTCACTTTGAAAAGTAGAGGTCTATCAGATCCCAATTTTTGCACACATGTAGATCTGATGTAGGTGGAGAGAGAGAGAGAGAGAGAGAGAGAGAGAGAGAGAGAGAGAGTGTAGTTAGTTATACTACA